CTTCCTCCCTTCCTTCCTTCCTTCCTTCCTTCCTTCCTTCCTTCCTTCCTTCCTTCCTTCCTTCCTTCCTTCCTTCCTTCCTTTCTAGAATAAGACAATGGATATTTCTGACTCACAGCAATTCAGTAACGGGAATTATCAGAACAAGGAAGTGTGAAGAATTAAACTACTTAGCTATACTTTTTTCTTCTCCTACTGGAATGTAAAGGACCTTGCTTTAAAAAAAAAAATCACCCCAGCCCTGCCCAGGTGGCTCAGTTGGTTGGAACCACATCCTATACACCAGAAAGGTTGTGGATTTGATTCCCGGGTCAGGGCACGTAATGGAGGCAAATGATCAATGTTTCTCATTTAAGTTATTGAACAGAAAATAAAACATTAGTTTCTGTCTTTCATACCAATACTCCTAAATCATTCTTTTCACCACATCTTTATCTTTCAGGAAGTGCCATTGCTCTCAGGAGTTAATTGAAACCCAAACCTGACAATTAGAGTATTCCTCAACCTTATCTCCTACTCACTCTCCCATGTCCCGCTTAAAACCTGTCTCTCCCCATGAATTTCTCAAGTTCCCCCATTTGGAATCTCTTTCCTTCCTTCTCGGAGTAGTTTCTTACTCCCAACATTTCTCATTATTGACCGTGTCACCTCCGTATGAGTCTGCTTCCTGCAAGCCTGAGGGGCCATGGAATTAAATGTAATGGTGTTGTGTTTTTAATTTCTAATTTTGCTTGTTCATTGCTGGGAAGTATTCTTATGATAAAGTCTCAGTTTTTAGTGATGTTTGCTTCTGACCTGTGAACTTAAGGGCTTTTTATTTTCTCAATTCACCCCCTTTTATAGGATGAGATTATAGAGTGGGCTGGAGTTGGGTGTTTTCCTTCCCCTAGGCCGTTTGGACTCTGATAAAACCACAGTAGTTTTGGATCCGGTAAAATAATTCCTTCTGATGGCAGGCCTTCTTGTGAAAAAGAGTACTCTGTTGTATTTCACGATGTCCCCTTTCCTTCTCCTGTTGCCAGAAGCATGAGGGGATTTTTTTGCCAATATTCACTTGAGGCAGAACTCACAAAAGTGTGTGAGCCTCGCTGTGTCTGGGACCCGCAGATTTTTAAATTCGCAGACTTGTTTACTCTGAGCCTCCAGCAATTCATGTGTTACATCACAGCTCAGGGTTTCCTTCCATAGCACTGGTTCCCATGGCGGTTTCTGCCCCCCAAGTTGTGGTCCTCTGTGTTTTGTGTCCTCTCTGCCACTCCATTGTGGGGGCAGCAGTTTGCCTTATGACCTCACTTCTCTAATGGATGCAAGAAGAGTTGTCGATCTTTTAGTTTGTCCAATGTTTTACTTGTTGTCTTGATGGACGGACAACTTCCAAGCTCCTTACAGGCTGGATGATAAAGCAGAAGTCTTCCAGCAGTTTTTCTTTGAACTCTCATTTGAGCATAGCTACATCCATTCATTCATTCATGAATGGAGCTGAGTAGTTGCAACAGACATCGCAAGGCTCACAGAGTCTAAAATGTTTGCTGTCTGGTCGTTTACATAAAAAGTTGGCCAACATTTGACTTTGACTGCAAAATCTCCTAACTAAAAGAAGCTTTATTCTGATGGTTTTATAGAGGCATAAAAGTACATATATAGACTTATATGTCTAATATTTTTGGAATTTGCAGAAAGTAAAGAAACTAAACTGTGTACTGGCTTTTTGAGGAAAAGGAAATCACTTCCTTACAGAAACTTTTAGGTCACAAGCATTTTTATATAAGAATCCAAAATCCTCGAGTGAATGATTTTGTTTGACAGCTTGGATTTTTAATAAATCTGTACATTCGTTCCCTGGTTTTGTCTTCTGATAGAAAAACTAGTTAATATGAACTTCCTCAACTTCTTGTACTGGGTTATTGATCAGATTAAGTTTACTCCCACATAATATTTAAAATGAGAAAAAGGTAAAGTTATACATTCAACAATTTAGAACTCTATAAATTCTGATGAAGTTTTCATATAAATATAATTATAATCTGTAATGTCATTTTCTTTTTTTAATTATATTTATTTATTTTCAGAAAGAAGGGAAGGGAGGGAGAAAGAGAGGTAGAGAAACATCAATGTGTGGTTGTCTCTTACACGCCCCTGCTGGGGACCTGGTTCTCAACGGAGGCATGCGCCCTGACTGGGAATTGAACTGGCCAGTCTTTGATTCACAGCCCATGCTTAGTCCACTGAGCTACACCAGCCAGGGCTGTAATGTCATTTTCAATAGAATTTCCAAGATTCTTATTTAACTTTAACAATTGGAGATAACATTAAATCAGGTTAATTAATTAATTGCTATGAGTTACATAGATAACTTCTAAGTAACATGGAATACTGAAACATAGGTAACTAAGATGTAAATCTATATATCCAGAGACAGATACATTTATATATACATATATAAATACATAATATATACACTAAAATATATCTTAGTATATATACACACACTGTATGTGCATAAGGTATGCTTTATATGTGAAAGACTATCTAAGCTTAACATTTTCTATAAGGCAACACCATCATAAACCAAGCTAAAAGGAAAAGGAAGGTCTGGGAGAAAATATTAGTAATGCAGCTGACAAAACAGCAGTAATCCCTCCTACACAAAGAAATCCTATAAATTTATGTTTAGAAAAGACAAAGAATTGAGTTTTTAAAAAAATGAGCAAAGGATATGAATAGGTTGAAAACAGAAGAGGAAGTGCAGAGGATGACAAATATATAAAAAACATGCTCAACCTCACTAGTAGTCAGGAAAGTGAAAATCAGACAACAAGAGACTGTTTTTTCACCTGTCAGACCAGCAATATTATAAAGACTGAGGGTAAATGCTGATGACCATTTCGAAACAGGTGTCTGCAAACATGACTAATGAGTTTGTTCAACATTTGGGGGAAGTGGTCTGTGGGGATCAACAGTCTGGGTACATAGTCTTCACCACACGGATCCCATCTTGGAATTGTATTACATTTTCAAGTGAATAATTATCAGGAGCTACTTTCCTTTAATACATGGACATGTGTGTGTGCGTGTGTGTGTGTGTATTCAAACAGTTTTATTTTCAGTGCATTTATGATTCTTTTTAAAAAAGCAGATGATGAAAGCAGAAGTGAGCACCATGAGACTGAAAAACATGACCAGACACTGGGCGGAAGAGTTGGGGACTTGTGTTGCGGGGAGAGAGCGGGTGAGAAGGAGTGACTATATACCACGTATTTTTCAGAAACCAGGCTAGATTGGGATAAGAATACTCTACGGACAATTGTCAGTGACTGTTTAGAAGTTGAATAATGACTATTAAACCCAGTCCTTTGCACTGCATTCCTAGAAACAGTGCTTTGTGAAAACCTATAGAGAGTATTAGAACAATATCTTGCTTTAAAGAGAAAAGGGTAGGGAAATCCATCATATCAGCTCTTCCCTGTCAGAAACAGATGCCGACTAGAATAAAGGCAGCACTAGGGCTCGGAGATAGTGCCCGTAATCTTCCTAAATCAAAATGTTAAGATGGCCCTCAACTATTACTAGTAAGGCACCAGTTCTACAAAGCTTATTGTCATAAAACTGTGCTTCAGGGCACTTTTGCCATTCCTTGAGGTTTCAGATTGATAACCTGGCAAGAATCTAATTTTTAACATTCACTAGACAATTGTATGGTGGAAAAATATTGAGTTCCCAGCTGATTTGTAAAGATGGTAGTTATTTCAGGTGTGTCTGTATTTATTTAAACAAAATTAGCTAAGAGCAAATTATCTAATTAACTAAATGATACATGATGTAACTGAGCCATGACCCCTGGCAAAATAGAGACTTTTAAAAAGAAAATTCAGTTTCTCAGGGCCAGTGGAATCTATTCAGCCTGTATGAAGACAAGAGTTAGACATCAACAGACTCCCCTCCAGCCCTCCCTCCCTTTCCCTCCCCCAGCACCATTTTATACTGAGGAAACCAGAATTTTTGGCTACAGCCTTGAAACCAGAGCATTACTTCATGAAAAGACAAAGGACTCCCTCAGAGTAAGGGGATTTTTCTGAGCATCATCATCGAAGATGTCTTCCCCAACTGAAACCAGGACATCCATGAACCTCTTCCCTCTGGAGTGAGGGAGGAGCAGAGGCAACCACGCAGAGATTTGGGCAGACTCGTGAACCCTTTGCAAAGAATTAGCAGAATGTTGACTTCTTGCTTCTTAAGTCAGTCACTGTTAGTTTTTATTGCTTGCAACCAAAAGCCTGTAGCATAGGCCTACATACCTGTATGTATATACCAGCCTCATATACAAAATCATCACTTTTAATTTGATAAAATGAACTACTCCATTGGCAGGAAGTTAGCCAAATGGTGATTTTATTTGATGTTGTTACTTGTCTAGGTTTCAGTATAAAACACAAAGAAGTTACTTTTAACATGGAAGGAATCTTATTATCTTCCTTCCATTGTTCCCTTTTACTTTCCTCCCCCCACTTTAAATTATCTTAATCCTCATTTCATTCTAATAAAAAAAAAAGACTTACAAAAAGAATTTCATATATCTAAATATGTAGTATATTTCTACTTACAACATTGAGCATTAAACTGTTTCTGGAGCATGGAGAATATTTAGGGCAGCGAAACCACTCTGCATGATTCCATAATGATGGATACCTGTCATTAGGTACTTGTCAAAACTCACAGAATGGAAACAGGAAGCCTGAGCCCTAATGTAAACTGTGGACTTCGGTGGTCACGCTGTGCCCCTGCAGGCGTATTGACTGTAATGAATGGGCCTCTCTGGCCGGGGCTGTTGCGGGGGGGGGGGGGGGGGGGGGGGCGCTGCGCCTGCGTGGGAACAGGGCCTGTGCGGGCGATCGCCCCACCTTCCTCTCAGTTTCGCTGTGAACCTAAAAATGCTCTAAAAATGAAGCCTATTTAAAAACAAGAAACAAAACCTTTTTCTAAACTGTAAACTAAGCCTACACTTAATCGATTTCATAATCGTAATCGTCATCCTCTGGGTTGATTCTGATGCTGGAGTGCTCTTCAGGTTTTGACTTGTTTTTGGCCTCTTTGCTCCTCTCGGTCAGGTGTAGGTGTTGCTCACATTGCCTCGTGATCTTCTTGGAAGACATCCAGCTCTCCCCCTGTCTTTCGGCTGGTGCTGCGCACTGTCCTCCCCTCACATCTGTCCCCTTGGCCTTCAGGACCTCCCTCACTCTTAGGAGACTGCAGGTGCAGTTCCACGGATTTCCGTCTAGATACAGGTGCCGGAGGCGAGGCAGCCCCTCCAAAGCTTTGAAGTTCAAGGCGGAGATCTTGTTGTTCCTAAGGTTTAGAACCTGAAGCTGCTTTAGATCCTTGAGCTCCCTCTCAGCAATATCCTGGATGGCGTTGCCTTTTAGGTCCAGCCTGGCTAATGTCCTGGGGAGCCTGCAAAAGCACGGGAACAGGATGGAGGGAAGGTCAGGGCCACTTTCCAAATCGGCAAAGGAACTCAGATTCAGCAACACCCACCTTTTCTATAGTGTGGCCCCTTCTGAAGCTAGAAAAAAATTTATTTTTAAAAAGTAATTTTAAGTGCAAACCTTAGTCTTTTCTATAGGTCTTTAACCCTTCCTCTTGTCTTATTTTATAACTCTCTAGTGTTTTTCTGGTTCCTGGTCATAAAACCCTTCAATATTGTTCTTATTGAATGGAATCACATAAATAAACTGATAAGAAAAAATACTAAGTTCCCACTATTTTAGTTGAAAAGGGACATGAATCAATACTTTGTAGAAGTAAAACAATTTCTTCCTTCACAGGATTGTTGTAAGAAACAATAAATATACATAAATTCATTGTTGATCTTAGCCAGCAGTTATTAAATGTCAGGTATGCTTTTTCTATCCATTAGCTTATTGAGGCGAATGGCATAGATACTTTAATATATCTGTACCTAAAACCATAAACCATTATTCTTGTGAAATACAGAAGGAAGATGGTAGACAGAAGAAGGGGTGTGTGGAAATAGTTTGTGATAGAAGTAGGTTGCATGCGTTTACAGTTATTTATAGAAAACTGAATTTTAAAGTGTAACTGTGTATAAGTAAGAAGTATGCAAATAAAAAAGAGTGTGTTGTTTAAAGCTTATAAATAAAAAAATTTAAATTTAAATATAAGGAAGAGATCTTATTGTGGTTTTAATTCTTCTTGGGAGGAGAACCACAGAGAAACTTTTCTTGAGTCATTCCCGCTTTTCAATTCAAGGAAAAGGCAAGGAATGAGGGCGGGGTGTTGACGGAGAATTTAAAGATCACTCTCTGCAAGAGCTTGCTCTCACAGCTGGCCGCATTTGGTGACAGAGCAGACAGTTATGTTGCTTAATTTAAGCCTCAGGAAAAGTACATTTCCATCTCAGGTTACTTGCCCCATTGTCCTTGCCCACGAGTTCTCAACCCTGGCTGCACATTAAGTTCATCTGCTGAACTGTTCAAAAACGCCGATGTCTGGGCCCCAACCCTGAGTGTCTGATTTAATTGGCTTGAAGTGAGGTCTGAACATCAATATATATTTTAAAGTATGGATGGATTTCAGTTGGAAAATCACTTTTTGAGGCTTTGTTTTGGGTATGATTACCATAATGTATAATAAGAAAATTAACTTTTTAACTATAAAAAGTTAACATTTGCACATAACAAAGATAATTTTTCCTTTTGTCATTAGTAAGGAAAATTATTCTAACTAACAATGAAAATGAGTAAGTAGAGTGTCATAGGATCCTATAGACACCAGAAGCTGGTGTATTATGAGAAATTTGATAATAATAAAAGCAGGGCAAAAAGCTTTTTTTCTATAAATTGCTAAAAAGAAAAAGAATCCACCGGTCGGCACATATCATAAACATCATAATATCATTTCATAGGAAATAATAGCACTGCATCCTTCTATGGTTTTTTGGTTATCTACTTTAAAATGTAGAACATGGAATAAAACAAATAAATAGGGTCATTAATGTAAACATGTACATTAATTATAAATTATAACTGGTTTGGGGAAACATGTGCGGTGGGCTGGGTACACAGGGAGAAATATTTGGAAACCTAAACTAAGTGTCAGAGTATGAAGGTGTGTGTATGTGAGGGGCAGAGAGAAAGAGAGAGAGAGAGAGAGGAGACTGAGGACACAGCCAGAACTAGAATGTAAGGAAAATACAAACAAGCTCCAACACGCACAGACAGACACACAGGTGAAATAAGTTAGTGTGGTATTCAACTTGCAGCTGGGAGTTTCCAAACCCTTGTTTAAAACTTCTCCCCCTAAACCCTTGGGTAGCCTTGGTTGGATCAGTTGTTTGCTTTAACTAGAGTTCTTGCCCGTATGTGGTGCTAATTGCCCCAGTCTTTCCAGAACTTTTATGATAGAATCATAAATGGTAATGCTCCCTTACCTTAGAGGTATGGACAGCAGCAGGTTCTGCTCCAGCGCCAGGTTGGAGAGCTGGGAGCACCTCTGCAGGGCTCCAGCTTCAAAAGAGCTGACAAAGTTGTTGTCCAGAAACAAATGCTTCAAGTCTTGGAGGTCCTGGAAGTCTCGCACTGTAACTCTCTGAATCAGATTATTGCTAATATCAAGCTTTTGTAGCCTTGCTGGTAGTCTGAGGGGCAACATTTGAAGCTGGTTTTGGGACAATTCAAGAGTGGTTAAGTTGGCAAGGAGCTGTGCCCCTTCGATGGAAGAGAGTGAGTTTTCTGACAGGTAAAGATGCGATAGGTTCTCCAAGTGTTTCATATCTCGAAACCTTACCACTTTGAGCTGGTTTCTCTCCATCTTTAAAGAGAGCAAGGATCTGGGCAGATTAATGGGAATTTTAGTGAGAAAGTTACCACTGAAACTGAGAAACTGCAAAGACTGAAGAGAAGTGAAGAAGCTAGGTGGTATAAGATGTAGTTTATTGTTCTCCAAACTCATATGTTTCAGATGGGGCAGTGCCAGTGGTCCAGCTACAGACTCGATATGATTGCCATCCAACATCAAACTCTGCAGACTGCCAAGGGAGGAGAGCATGTTGGGAGAGAGAGAAGAGATCAGATTGTTTTTAAGTTCAAGGGTTTTTAATTTCTCCAGCCCTTCAAAATCAGATCTGTGTAGGACATAGATTGAATTATCATTTAGTTTTAACACTTCGAGACTGGCTGGGAGAGCCCTCGGGACTCGCCTGAGCTTATTCTTCCAGAGTTCCAAGGTCTTCAAGGTCCTCAGAGTTTTGAAAGTATCATTTTCTACCGATTCTGTTCCACTGGCCAGAAGAATAAAGTCTTCTAGAGCCAACTTCTTGGTGAAGTTAGATAGCTACAAAAACAAACAAACAAACAAACAAAAAATAGCAGGAGCAGGGATGGGGGGACAAAAACAGTAAACTAAGATTATTGTAAGGAATAAAATATGTACTGGCATTCAATTCTGATACTTCAAATTCCTTTCAGGACCAATTTTAAATTATCTCTTGGAAAAGGATGGAAACTCAGGTCCTGACTATTTTTGTTTATGGTTGCTAATACTGCAAGATATCAAAAGTATTTTAGGCACTCTCACACACTGTTGTTAGACGCGCAGGACTGGCTAACTTTTGCTGTATGTTCTCTGACCCAGCAAGTTTACTTCAAGGCAGTAGTCCTTGCACATTGCATTATGATTTATGGAAGTCAATGTTCTTGGTTGCATCATTTTATAATAGCCAAAAAAAAAAACAACACCCAATCTTTCACCAAACTATTAACTCTAGGGTGTAAGATTACACAGGATTTTCACTACCTTTTTACATCTTGCATTGTTTGGATTTTTTAAATTATAATTACCTTTGATTTTTTTAAAGCATTAAAAGTAAGAGTTTTAAATATCCTAAATACTATCATCAAGGGGATGGGCCTATCAGAGAAATGTTTTCAACTGTATGATATTTTGGAAACCAGCTTCCTGCTCTCTGCTCCCCTTCCCCCAGTTTGCACTCCACTGACAAATACGATCCATGAAGAAACAAACAGGACACGTGTGTCTCCATCCCTGTAGAGCAAGAAATACACTCATGTGTATATCCCATACCTAATGCTACTCCTGTTCTATTTTAGGAAGTACAAAATCTGATATACTTTGTCCACGATTTGCAAATTCAAGTACTTCCATCTCTCTGCATGTCCCCCAACTTCCTAGCATGACATGTATGTTTTCTGTGGGATTATGGAATCCTTGGTATTTGGTTCTTGGAATAAGGTCAGGTTTAGGTAGAAAGAAGAATCATTCCAGGTTTTCTTCAGCTTGATGAATTCACAAAATGTTCAACCTGCTTTAGAATTCAATCAAGATGGAACTTTCAATGCAATTTTTATGTGTCTTACTTACCTACAGTGTCTAAATGTTTGACTTCATTATGTAGTTGAGTCTTTTTATAATACCAATGCACAATTAATATCTTCAGAGTGTTTTCATTTTGTATCCCAGATTTATTATAGGTACTTAAATTCTGGGAGGACATGTGATATGAATTATGTTCAAGCATCTCTTCATATGATATTCTATTAGAAGAATCTCATGTTAAAATTTCCGCGAACAGATGTTTTTAATCTTAATAGTTTTGGCAGCTGCCTTTGGTTATATATTGCTGCTAACATTTGATATTTTTTTACAGTTTAACTGGTTTTATTAAGTAGTCTTAATCCCAAGAGTAATAGCGAATTTGTTCTTATATTTGTTGAATATCTGCAAGTCGGGAGTGCTTTTTTTATGTTACTATTAATTCTCCTAATAACCCTGCAAGTTTGCTATTATCAGCAATGGCTTTTATATGAGAAAACTAAATGGTTAGTGAGTAAAAGAGCTGAGAATTTCAATGACCTCTAGGGGGCCCCATAGAGCTTTCTCCCCCAGCTCCCCATTTTCTATGCATTTTCTGTTGCATTTGGTCTACACCTGTTTTCAGGAAAGACTCGAGATCTGAACACAAACCATAGAGTCTTAGAGAAGCAGAGATCATAGAGGTTATCTTGTCCAAATCTTTGGTTTAAAAGATGAAGAATTCAGATAAAGTCCCAGAAGTGGAATAACTGGATCATAAGGCAATTTCATTTTTAATTTTTTGAGGTATCTCTTTACTGCTTTCCACAGGGACTGTACCAGAGACCCCAAATACTAATTCAAAAGAATATAAGCACTCCTATGTTCATTAGGGTTATTTACAATCGCCAATATATGGAAGCAGCCCAAGTGTTCTGCAGCAGATGAGTCGATAAATAACTGTGGGACATTTACACGATGAAAAACTACTTGGCCATGAAAAAGGAAGAAAATGTTACCCTTTGCGACAGTATGGATGGGCCCGGAGAACACTATGAAATGAATGAAATAAGCCAGTCAGAGAGAGAGAAATACCATACGATTTCACCCATATGTAGAATCTAATGAACAAACTGGACTAACAAGCAGAACTGAGACAGGCCCATAGATTGAGAGCAGGATGACAGCTGTGGGCTGGGGTGGGGGTCTGTTAGGGAGAAGAGGGTGTGAGCAAAAAAGAAGAAGGACTCGTGTGTGGACAACACCGTGGTGCTGGCAGGTATGGGAGAGGACTATAAGGGGGATAAATGGCAATGGGGAAATGCAATAAAAATAAATTTAAAAAGAAATAAAGTTTATTTTCTGAGAGAGAGAAAAAAATAATTTCAGGCCAAAAAAATTTTAGTGACCTTCCCCAAACTCAGTATTCTTTAATCTACTTTCCATTCTGAAGGATGCTTTTTGAAGCTTTTCTTTCATATAAAGTCAGAGATGACTCAAGACACAGATCTTCACTTCTTGGACTGCTGATCTCCCAAAAGAAGAACTCGAGGTTACTGATACCTCCACTCCTGTTGGAGCAATCACACACCCTGAAAGACTGCCTGCCGAAAGAGCAGCGAGTCTCAGTGATGGTGTGGCTCTGAACCGGCAGTTTACTGGGGAGCAGACGAGGTATGGTGTCAGAGCTTCAGGTTGTCAGTTTGTCTTGATTTCTCTTTGTAAGCACATGGCCAGGACTAACCAGTAAACACAGTCCATGTTCTGAACTGAATCCAAAGGATGATTGCTTTTTTTTAGTAAGCATAAAGAACATTTTTCTTTTTGTCAGAGTCAATGCAGACTACTTTCAACTGTGAATTAAATGGCTACCATTATTTAAGTATGTACTCTGTTTATCTTTACAAAGACCTTTGTGTAAGCACAATCATTCTTTTCTCAGAGGGGGAAAGGAAAGCTCAAGGAGGTGAAATAACCTGTTCAGGTGTGTCTAGCTAGCAAGTGGAAAATTTGGGCTTTCAAATATACCCCCAAGCAAATATATTTTTAACTTTATCGCTATAACATGCATTTAGCTCAAGAATATACAGTTCTGGTGGCACAACCAGTGAGGATTTTCACCTTTTCAGTTGGGTTTGCAGAGCTGACAAGAGGGAAAAAATAACCCTGCCAGACCTGTTTTCCCGGCCTAAGCAGGATTGTGTTCAAGAAATATGGAAAGAGGTGCTTTTGCCCCAGCGCTACCCTTGGTGTTGTGGGTAGTTTTCCAATGTTGCTTAGAAAGCAAGGCCTGTATGGCTTGGTGTTAACATTCAGGCACGGGAATCTTTGCTAAGTATAATTCCTGCCATCCCAGGTTTACAGTTTAGTCAGCTTGACACCCATTAAGAGAAAAGTTACAATAAAGTATGCAAAGTTTTAAAAAATGAGCAAGGCAAGTAACACGAAGGAGAACAGAGGGGCACCTCCTGCTGGCTTCCCTGTAAAAGGCTTTGTCTCTGGTTTAAATTCCGGGCTGGCTTTGTTCCAAGTATTAGAGGGACACATGCCTTTCTTGGGCTTCTTATAGGTCTGATGTACACAGAGAACTGACATACCTCCACGGTGTCTGCCTCAGACATGTATGAAGCAAGCCAGCATGAAATTTGTGAAACAATGCTGGAATCTGTTTTTTGATCATCAAAGCAACACTTGTTCTCTGTAGACTATTTAAAAATTCTAGAAAGTATGGGAAGAGCATAGTGGTTTTCTGTAATTCTCTCACTCAGTAATAACCCTGCTTATGTATTTATTACCCAGGAGAAATTTTAAGTATTATCTTCCACAAAAGATATAAAGTGCAATCGTTTTAATTGACCACCATCAAAAAGACATTCTTATCTGTCCTCTAAATGTAAAAGCTAAAAATATAAATCTCTTAGAAGAAAATATGTGCATAAATTTTTATGACCCTGAGTTTGGTAAGAGCTATTGCAGATATGACACCAAAAGTAAAAGTGAATAAGAAAAAAATAAATAAACAAAACTTAATTAAAGTTGGAATCTTTTGTGCTTCAAAGGACATTATCAAGAAAATGAAACAACAACCCACAGAATGGGTGAAATTTTTCACAAATAATATATTTGATAGAAGATTTGTATTTAGCATATATAAAGAACTCTTACAACTCAATAGTAAAAAAACAAAGAACCCAATTAAAATAAGCAAAAGATTCATACAGGTACTTCTCAAAACAATATTTATAAATGGCCAATAAGCACATTAAAAGATGCTCAACATCATCAGTCATTAATCATAGGAAGGTCGAAACATGATGAGATACCACCTGACACTCACTAGGGGGGGGCTATGATCTAAAAACAAAAAAGAAAGGTAAAGAAAGGCAACAAACATCAGCAAAGATGGGGAGGAATTGGAACTGTTCTTCATTGCTGTGGGAATGCAAAATGATGCAGTTTCTTAAAATGTTAAACATTGACTTACCAAATGATATTACCCAAAAATTTCATTCCTAGGTATATACCCAAGAGAAATGAAAACATACGTCCACACACAAACACGGACATGCATGTTCATAGCAGCATTATATATAATAGCTGAAAATAGGAAAGAACCCAAATGTCCATCAACTGATAAATAGATAAACAAAATGTGGTATACACAATATCGGTTATACATAAAGAAATATTATTCAGCCTTTAAAGGAAGGAGATTCTGACATGTGCAACAACACAGATAAACCTTGAGGCCATTATATTAAGCAGAGGTTGGCGGCTGGACAAGTCTCAAGCCTGGAGGAAAGGTATGATGGAAATTCAGCTATGGGAGCCATGGCCACTCACACAAAAGTGAAGTCACTTAAGAAGGGTGTGCATAGTAAGAAAAGGGATGGCTGAGGATTGACACTCCCTGGAAAAGCCAAAAACTAAGGGCAGTGGAGGAAAAGAAACCTATAAAAATGGCAGAAAAGAAATACCAGGGAGAAATAATGGTGACTTAAAAGTGTAGAGTCATGGAAGGCAAGAAAGTGAGAATTTCGAGAAATGGGAGTGAGCCAATCAATGTCTGAGAGAGAACAGTTTTAGTAATGTGGAGCGGGCAGAAGCCAAACAGAGGTGAACTGAAGGATGAGTAGAAGATGAAGAAGTGGGGACATAAGTACAGACTGCCCTTTCACAGAGTTTTGTGAATAAAGATAGCTGCAAGAGGAGACATGAAATGAAAAGATTTTAATTTTTATTCTTATCGTAATGGAAGGAGCATATTTATAGGCGAGGACAGGGAGGCAGTAAAGAAAGAGCAGCTGAAGATATGGGAGTGGGAAGAGTGATGAAGCCAGCTTAGGGACAGGTGGGAAAGATGGACTTGAAGGCAGGAGAGGGAGGTGGCTTTGACGGAGAGGGACATCTCCTCTCCAGAGGAAAGAGCTTGCAGAATTGGATGGTAACAAGTTAGTGTACAGACAGCAGGAAATGAGGGAGATCAAGACAACTGGCGTTCATATTGTCATTATTTGTCAATAAAATGGGAGGTCAGCAATTTGGTGAGAATGAGGAGGGCACGGATTGAGAATCCAAAACTATGCTGAAGTCTTGGAAGATGTTGAGGGAATATAGTGAGAGAAAGTGACAAAGAATTGAGAGAATAGATGGATGACACTGAAGACCCAGATGAAGTTAGAGACCTTGAATACACACACATGCACACACACACAAATATGTGCAGAGAGGTTGTGTGGTCCCCTCCAGCAGTACCCAGAGGTTCAGGCACAGGAGAAACAAAGGAAAATGGCCATCCAATTTAAGACTGAGGCTTTGCTGGATTGGTGCTGAAATAATTCATTGTGGGATACAAAAAGGAAAGGTATTTTTTAAAATAAGAAATACAGTAAATCGATTATCTGAGAGAACATGGGTAGATCTAGTGTTAGGATACTCCATGAGGTGGAAAGATAATTGCAGAGTATGACAGTTTAATGTAGAGAAGATAAGGTCCAGAGAGTGGGTGTGGAAATTCAAGATTATTGTGTAAAGTTTCAGGTGTAAACAGGATTGTGATATAAATAGATGGTTATGGTCATGTAGAAATGCAGACAGATCTTTTTTATGAGTTCAAGGAAGGGTGAAAGTAGGATATTGGACACTGAAGGCACCCAAGGAGTGCAGGGTTGAGGATGGTGAGGAAGACTAGAACCAGGAGGAAGGGGCCAGGAGCACAGTATAGGACACACAGAAGAATCAAGAGCTTTACAGCCTGCTGCTATAAAGAAGCAGGGATTGTTACAAATAAGCAGATAAATAAAATCCTTCTTTTCTTGAGGGCAGGAACTTGACTTTTTCATCTTTTGTTCCCAGTCTCAAACAGGATTGAATTATATAAACAAGTAATAGAAATATTTTAAATTGTGATATACACATACATATATGTGTATATGTGTTTGCATATACATGCATATAAATGTGTGATATATGTGCATGCATTTATATGTGTATATATAATTTCTATTGCAATTAATCTGAAGATCCATTTTAAGGTATTTTTTTCTTTGAATATAGGCATCCTGTTGTGTAATTCAAACCAAATAAACTGAATATACATTGTATTCACCAAATACAAGTGAAATATGGTCATTTAAAACTTAAGTGTTTTCAACAGAATAAGGAGAAATATTATTGCTCAGAACCTTTTATTTCCTTCACAAAACAATTCTGTGTTTCATCAAAATTTCTCCTGGGAGCTGCCCTTCCAAGAGACAGTTAATTGGGTTAAAGTCAGTGAAGTGGCAATATTGCTGTTCAGTGAACTGAAACCAATGACAAATGGATTGATTCAAAAATTGAATCTGAGGAAAAGTATATTTTCATCTTATTGGCTTCAAAGCAGCAGTGGAGGATCATTACCAGGCCTTGTTGACCCTTTAGCTCTCTGCATCTCAAGTCCTCAGAACAAATATTTAAGCATCTTGCCCTTTAACCAGGTGTCTTGCTTGGATGCTGAGAGCCGATCAGGTCAAACCCACTCTCTGGCATTAGGCACTACTGGATTAGAAGAGGAAAGTAAACAGATGACAACTGGGTCGTTGTGTTCAGTAAGGCTTGACATAAATACCACACAGGTTTTAAATCCTCTGTGTTTATGTTCGCCAAATTAATATTTTGTAAGAAACGAAAGGAGGGGGTTCTATTTGGAGAGAAAATATGTTCACCTGCTGACTCTGCTCCTGGTTCACAGAGAGGCCTTTCCTTATTTTAGGATTTGGATTGATGGGGGAGAAGCAGTGAGCAGTAAAGGAAAAATCAGAAGGCCATAAAATTTTCCATCTAGACAGGACCTGGGATCACCTATCTAATCAAGCATGCTCACTTCAGTAAGGTAAAAGGTGAGGGCCAGAGATTTTTAACTGCTTGGTGAGATACTTATCTCTCTAAGGAAGGAGCCAATTTAGGGAGAAAATCTTAATCTCTTGATCTCTTTCAAACACTAAAGGCCAAAAACAAAAATGACTTTGAGAAATCTATGGCGCTTTTTTCATTGCCCTCTGAATAGGTAAGCATCAAAGTAGAAGTCATAATTAAAATTGCATAGAATGAGAATTGCAGCACCACGGCAAAACAAAAATGGGTACAGGTTTTCTCAAAGACGCTAATGATTGATTGGATGTCAGGTTCCTACGAATAATTCTCATATGCTGGATTCATCCTGAGAGTCTTATGATGCTCTCAGTATCATCTGCCTTCTATAGCATAAACAAAAGTACATTCCCCTCCAAAAGGACTTATTCTTCATCCTGGACATATAAAATGGCCATATGCTCCCAAACTCTTTTTGTTAAGAAAGAGCCATTTTTTCACTTTTACTTGACATGATTAGAAAAAAAATTTAATAAAATATCATTAATTATAAATTCTGGGTTTAAAAAAGTTTTTTTGGTTGCTGCTCAAGAAATATCCAGAGGAATATACCCATCTCAGTAGTGCAGAGCAAGCTAGTAACTAATGCAACTACCCAAATTTAATATGCTTTTATTTTCTTGTTTGTTTGTTTTTAGGTTTTAACCTTTAAGTTTTGCATTTTAACTCTGAAGTTCTGATTATTTAAATGAAGTGAACAATCCCACACTCACCCTTGACCCGGCCATACAAAATAAACTGCGCCAACCTGAGCGTAAAAAGAGCAGTTACCTGAAGATGTTGAATTTTGCTGTGGCTGATGTACAGCTTCTTGGTGGTGGAGGGGAGGCCCGAGGGCACCTCCATGAGCCTGTAGCATTGCACCGATGGCACAGAGTCACAGCTGCACCTTGCAGGACAGTTGAGATCGAAGCCATCGCTAAAAGAGAGCAAAGCAAGGAATGCATAAAGTAGGTGCATCTTCCAAAACAGGGCCTCTCGGGAAGCAGGCAAGTGTTTAGGTGATGTCTCACTCTTTATACCATGAAATCTGATGATAGAATCTCATGAATGTGTACTCTGTCAATGTAAGAAGACAGGAAAGAAAAATTTTCAATTTGCCTGGGTTAAAATGTTAGCCACCATTACAAAGAGAAAGGGGCTTAAACATTGATAAGCTGCCTTAATATTTGTAGGTGAGCAAAACTTTATGTTATTTATGGCTTGGAAGGCTAATCTGCAAACACCTCTATTATCTGTAGTTTCCTTGTTTTGTTAAATGTGACATGAGGGAATTAGTGGGAAAAGACAAAGAGCTGTTTTATAGGGGGTTATAAAACCTTTGGATTTTCTGTGACCCTATATTAAAACCATTTTTGCAGGACTGAAACAGGCAGGTGTTTGCTTCTCACATTAACTAGTATGGGAACATTGGCAGGTTTCAGTTTAATATTGTTTCAGTAACATTTTATTGCTAGGTGAAACAATGGGGTACAATGGAGAGATATTTAGAGCTACAGATAACATGTTCAATGTAGCCATCTCTTGATCCACTTGGTTTCCAAATATTGTATTTGGAAAATATTTTGTTAATCAAAAGCATTGTTGACTCAAATGAAAATTAAACATCAAAATGGGCCCAATATCTTCATCTATTTTTAATAATAAAAGAAAGTGCCTCTCATTTCTTCAGAGGGACTAGTTGGTTGTGAAACCGCACTGGAGAGGGAGAACTTCCCTTGTCCTGGGCACTCCCGTGTGGTGGCTTTCGGGCTTGCCTCGGTCACCCTGGCTACAGGGTTTAAAAGAGTTTTAAGCAAAAGATAACATAGAGAAGCTCTATCCTCCCAAGTAGAACACCTGAGATCCCCCATGCTGGTCGACCTCAGGAGCTTGCTCTAAAGGAATCCTTTCCAATATGTAAAAGTTCCTCTGACCCCCTCTTCAACCCTTAACTCTCTTTGCTATGAAACTTTCATCAAAAGTTTCTTTGATCTAATAATCAATTTATTCTATTTCCAGAGTAGGGATTTCTGTTTTTCCCAAAAGACTTTTCTGCTTTTCTTTTCTGATTGCTTCCCCTCTGGTTTCTTTTCTTTCACTATCTGAGATAAGGAGCGATAAGAGATTTCTTTTCTGTCAATATTCTGATTTTCAACAAACTTTATTATTTATTTCTCTTGCTTAGTAATACAATTATTTTTTAATTTTTAGAATTTTTAAATAGCAAAGTAATGCTCAACTAAAAGAAATTTGGAAAAATTACAAGGAGGGGGAAAAATCCAAAATTAAACATTTTCCCAGTTTCTTTTCTCTGCCTAGTCTTTGAAACAACAAAGAGAAATACTTATTGAACATTTTTTTATTCCTGTGTTGCTAAAAAGGTAAATTCGTATTTAGTCACTTAAAACAAAATGCCTGCAAAATCCACACCTCTCATGGGCCATCGACGACAGCTCACTGCCTTGTTACCCAGCACAGACAGCAGTGAGCCCTCCCTCTGCAGTCCTCTGCCGGCACCTGCCAGACCCTCGCTGCTTTGATTAAGCCTTGAAATTGCACTGTACGCTATGTTGCCCTTTTCCTTCTTTTTCCTGGTATTCGTACAGTTTCCCTGCAATTTTGGCTTTATCTGTAATCTAGTACTATTTGACGCTGTGACTAGTTTTAGTTTATCAGGTTGTAGACACATGCAACTTTATATTCTTCGGTTTTCACCAGTATAATATTTTCCCACATTATTTTATAATCTCCATAAATATAACTTTAAATGCTTAATAGTCCATCAAAAGTATTGGCTCAATTTGATTAACTACTTTTTAAGTGTTGGATTTTTAGGTTGTTTCCTGATTTTACCTTGTAAGTATAAATAACCTTTGATCACAAAAAGTTCGGGAATGTTTTGAAGAATAAAAGACCCATCTGATCTCCAGACCACACCTATTTACTTAGGGTTAAGCTGAGAAGTCAACTTTTTCTTGTCAGGTAGAGGGCGACGTCTTGTTGATACTATACACTGCAGAGAGAGTGTAACACGAAGGCAGAACCTGAATGCCAGAAGGTCACCCACGTTTGTCGCGCCTGCCCTGGAGTTTTGTTGTGCTAGGAAGCAGCCATAAAAACTGCCACAATTGCTCAGCTTCTAGTTTATCTTCTGCTGACTTTTTGAATTTTTGCCTGTTTACTAAATTCCCTACGTTAGGTTGGGTTACGTTAGGTTAGGTTGGGTTGAGTTTAGTCTCTGATGCTGAATGTGAGGCATACGGCTCTTTTCTCTAAAAAGGACTTAACAAGAACTAATTTGATCGTTATTATTTGGCTTCTGTGAGCAATGAAAAACTGGGTAAAGAAACTGCCTGCTCAACTATGGAAACCTCAATAACTCAGCCAAAAACTCTCTTCAAAATACAGCTCAGAATCTAGGTTTAGTCTTTCAACACAAGAGAGATTGCAATCTCAAAAAATATGCTCTGGCCTTGGCTGGTGTGACTCAGTGGAGTAAGCACCAGCCTGGAAAAAAAAGGTCGCCAGTTTGATTCCTAGTCAGGGCACATGCCTGGGTTGCAGGTCGAGTACCTAGTTGGGGGTGCATGAGAGGCAACCACACATTGATATTTCTCTCCTTCTCCTTCTCTTTCTCCCTCCCCTCCTCTCTGTCTAAAAATAAATAAATAAAATCTTTTTAAAATGTGCTCTGCATTTGAATTTAAGTTGAATTTGATTTATGTTTTTGTTCACATTTTCAAGCCAGGATGCTTCCTGACTTACTTTCTTATCTTTATTTCTATAATACAGCGATTCTCCACCAGGGGCAATTTGGTGATATCTGGAGACATTTGTTGGTGACAATAAAAGGTTAAGGGTGGCTGTGTTACGGGAAGAACTCAGGCCGAACACCGGAGGAAGAGAAGTGGTTCCTTTATTTACGTGCGCGGACCCAGAGGAGGCAGTGTCCAAATTCTGGGCCCCAATCAGCGGGGAGCAACTGCTTATATAGGGTGAGGGGTGGTCTGTCACTTAGACCATTGCTTTTGGTGGGAAAGCAAGAAGCAGCTTATAGAAGCAAAATGTTATCTCTAACACACAGAGACACAATGTTGTCTCTAAGTGCACAAATGTTATCTCTAGCAAGCGTTATGTCTGGCGCACAGGGACAAGCAAGAAACAAAGGGAAAAAAAACAAGTCATTTCCTGGGTGCTGTGCTATGTTTTAAAATAATTGCCAATTTCCTCTAACAGTTGGGTAGGTAGTGCTACTGGCATCCAGGGGGTAATGGCCAGGGATGCTCCTGAATACCCTACAACGCATAGGACAGCCCCCACGACGGAAAATTATGCAGTCCAATATCAATACGGCCATTACTAGGAAACCTTGCAATAAACACAAAGTGTGCCTCTATGCAATGGATATTGTCCTTTCTGTGTTATTAAAAGCAAAGGGCATGTTTCCATTATAGAAAGAAAAATGAATTCCAGAAAAGAAACTAACTCAAATTCTTCCTGACTTGGATATAGAAACATTGACTTACCATTTCTATTGTAAAATTGATCAACCAAGACATACATAGAAGACTTTAACTTATGAAAACATATTTCCGAGATAAAAGAAATTTTAAAGAATAAAGCAATTGTGAATATGATCCTTTTTTAACTTGCTTGCTTCTGGAGAATGTTGCAAAAGGGCATAAATTAAAAGTATAATAAAACAACAACTTTTTCTACCACTGAACCTTTTTATATCTCCATTTTTTCTTCTATAAAATGAAGTTAAAGTGGGGGAAATACTTTCCATTTTACAGAAAAGAAGAGATAAAATGAATTAAAACATGTCCTGTTCATGGGCAAAAAAAAAAAAAAGGCTTCAATAAATGATCGTGGTATCAGCTTGGGTCATTAGTTACAAGCAACACAAATTCTGGCGGAAGAGGATTTATGGAAAGCAAATGGGATAGCACACAGGCATGCAGGAGAGCCTGGAGAATCAGATTTGGAGATGGACAAGAATAAAGGAAGGCTACATAGCCCGAACCACAGGCAAAATCACACTTCAGCCTGGGTTCACCACGGAACATGCATGTCCTGGCCCCACCCCCGAATGGAAAATTAGATACCACTAATGGCGCTGCTGCTACTGAAAAAGGCTGTGGCTGTCTCCATGCCTGACCCTTGTCTTGCTAGCTCCACATTAGAAATTTGGGGTGGATTATTTTGCTGAGGTGAGCCTAAGCCATATGCTTGTGCTTAGGTAAAGTGATTCTCTGAGATTTTCAGTTCCTTATGGAAGGAGGACTCTATTTCTAATATGCAAGTCACATAAGGTAGGGAATTCCTGAAACAAACTTGGATCGTCCTCCACGCATAGCGACAAAGTGCACTGTAGAAATCTCACCTCACTGCTTTTGCCCACCACGACCACAAAAACCAGCGGAGTTTTGAGTTCGTTACAATAAACTGGGGGCCAAACAAATTCTATTCTGATTACTGTTGGGACGTGGCTTTTGTGTACTTGCTCCGTTACACTTTCCTGATTTGTTCTTTTAGAAGACTATGAGATTTCTAATGAGGTAGTTTAAAGGATTCTTGTACTCTTTTAGGTAGGTGCAAGGATAAGTGTTAAAGACGTTCAGATGCGATAACTCAGGGCGCCTGATAGAACTAATCTGGAAGAAATATAAATGACAGAGGCCGATGCGGGGGGTCTGTGTTTGACCTGTGAAGCCTAACCATCCAAGAAACAGTCAGTGACTTGACAGTGGATGAAAGAAGAAGAATCAATATTAGGAAACTCTGATACCGCTGTTGAGAGAGGGTGGTCCGAGATAAGGCTGCCCCAAACCGGGGCTGTGGGAAAGAGTAAATGAAGAATGTAGGTCAAACTAACTGTGCAGAGTGGCTATAGTCAGTGTTTGAGAGTGTAAGGGAATAAAAATAGAGTCAGAGATTTAAAATTTTTTGTTATGTTTTGTTTTTACGTTTGGGTACACCATGTAGAATGCAGTATCTCATATATTTTAACTATGGAATGGCTAAAACAATGCTCAACGCCTCAATTATACTTTACTTATTACTCAAATCAACAAGATAATTGTTAAATAAATTTTTATCTTTAGGTTGGGAAAAATATTTCTTCAATTTTGAGAAAATATGTATCTTACAGATATTTAACATGTATTTTACAGATATTCCTAACTCCAGAGCCAATATGAAAATATATTTACTTGTGCTCTCTAGCAGTCATCAAAGTACATCTTAAAAAGTGACTGCAGGTAAACTAAGTAGACTAGGTACTATCTTAATTGTTCAACCAATCACACAAACGTTTTCAGCATTCTTACTATTTTAGGTCCTGTGTTAGGACCTAGGATTTGAAGATAAATAAGATACAGCTGTTGCTGCTGAGTATCTCACAGTCTAAAGGGGCTCTAAAAAAAGTATGATAAATGCTACAGCAGGCATTTGCAGGAAACTGAATGGCAAATGGAATCTATAGCTTCATGTGAGGAGGAAAAAAGGCTTCCTGAAAAAGATATCTGAGCTAATACTAAATCACCGCATCAAAATTCTCAAGTTTTAGGAACTAGAGAGCAAACAGTTGTCTTATTGGTGTGTATAAAAGAAATGATCAGGAGAACGAGGCTAATAAATCACTTTGGAATGCCCAAACTTACTTCATTAGCATGTCTATCACAAAATTTCAGATTGCTACTAAAGGAGTAACTGTAGCATACATAATATATATGAATATGACATATTCCAGGGCTTTCCCCACATAGCTCATGTAAAATAGTAATGAGTTTTCCTTAGCTGTCTTTATTCATCAAAGAACTGTTTATCGCAACCAACGGACCCTACTGAATATTTTTTCTTTTTCCTGGTAGGGACACTGAGGATCAAATGATACATGTGAAGCTTAGTATAGGGCCTGGCACACTGTAGAGTTCCATAAATAGTAGCCTCCCTCTCCAGTCCAAGGTAGATCGTCTGTGTCCATTCACCACAGTGTCTTTGTTATTAATGATGCTCTAATAAATATTGGAACTCTTAACCTTATAGCTAATTACCAATACCTACCAAATGAATATTCAGCATCTTCTTTTCTCTTCCTCAGTTTCCTCTGTCCCACCCTATTTATTCCTAATGCCTTGTGGTAATATTCTGTAAGGGTAAGTTCTTACAAGACTGTCCCATTTAAGTTATGTTAGAAATGTTTAATCACGTAAGCATAATTTATAAAACAGTTACTGGAAGTTTGAGCCAATGACATTGCAAATATAAGGATCAAGATTTTATTATCTCTTGGTAAAACCCCATAAGTATTGAGATTACACACAATTCCGAATTCCAGAGTAGATCAAGATAAAGCAGTAAATGTAGACAGAGCACACTGCCAACAGATGGCAGCACTTGAACATCGAACCCTGCTTTTCACTTCCTTGTACATTGTGACTTGCTAAAATGCAAAATCCCAGCCATGATTGGCAAAAGATAATGTCTACAGTGAGGGCACCTCTTGAATAATTGAAATAGCCACACAACAGCAAGATACCAAATGCATACGGATGAGGCAGCAGCTGCTACCCTGCATGGTAATGAGAATGAACAATATGTGATGAAAGTATCCTGAGACACGGAGGGTGTGACTTGGTGAAGATGTAAAGATTGTAAACAGTAATGTGGCTGGGTTCTACAATCCTGAAAACTGGGGTGTGCACCAAGGATCAGAGCGCTGGAAACATATAAACACTGGGAAATGCATTTCAGTAGTACCCACAATATAGCAGGAAGCTGAATTTTTAAAAGAAATAAAATGTATTTTTAAGTGTAGTCCATATAACTAAAGAGCATGATAACAGAAAATGAGCATTACAATTACATTATTTTGTAATATTTCTTATAGATTAATATATTTGCATATGGCTATAACTGAGAAGAAACTGTTTTTTTGAAAAAGCTGTTTGACTGATTGCTGATGTATTATATCGGTAACTTATACAAGACAAAATTATTTCCCTCATTCTTCTATAACCCATGTTAACCACTGGAGAAAAAGACACGTAGATTGAAATTTCACTTCAATTAATTTTCAGCTGTACAACCTTACCAAGATCTACTTAAGCTCTCTCTATATAACTCATCTATAAAACAGTGGTATTAGCTACGTCACAGGATTTTGTGAGGATCAAAGATGTAATGCAAATAGCACATACTTAACACATAGTATGCGTTCCATAACTGAAAGCTACTATCGTAATTCTAGGTTATGTGTCTCCCCATTTTAATTATTTACTTCAAATTCCTGAAAATGCACTGCTAACCCTATTGTGTATAGAGAAAGTGGCTGGGAAAGTGGTAGCTGTAGTAATGATGTTCCTGCAAAGACTGAAGATGAAAATAGAGTTAATTTAAGGGGTAATGGAGAAAGATACAAATTTTTGTTTTATATTATTTCTGTGTATTAAAACCTGCGTGAAGGCTCCAGCAAAGAATCTCGCGGTTAGTTTGCGTAGCTAAGTTTGTTGAAGCCAAAGAACTTATCAACTAAAGCTAACTAGTCTGCCATGCAGCAGCCAGAGAGCAAACTGAAGCTATGATTTCACATTCCTCACTGGCATTGCGTAGGCAAGGGGAACACAGTGCAGGCTTCAGTGGTGATTAACCAGAAGCGTCTTGTACCATGAAGATATCACAGAAGAGTCTGTAGTCAGCCAGTAAGATTTTCTCCTAGGCAATTCAGCCTACTCTATTGAGACTAGGTGTTCTTTGGTGTCCAAGACTGGGCGGCTCTGGAAGTGGAAGGCGGTTGGTTGAAAGTGAGTTAGACGTTATGTTAAAGAACAGTTGTGAAACACTCCCAAGGGTACTGAACAATTAAAATTAAAATTGTAGCTCTGAAGGTTGGACTCACTATGAACTCTGCTTGAGTGAGAATCATGTCCCATTTATTTCCATGTTCCCAATGCCACAATATGGCTCTACATTCAATATATTTATGAATAGATGGATCATCATAATTTTTCTAAAATGTGTGTGGGGACATTGGCCCAGTTTTTGAAATAAATACACCTTTTAAAGTAGTTGTTTTGGAAATGTATGACCTGTGGTGTAGTAATAAGGAATTCCAAGTGCCAAGCACTGAAATAAGCATTTCACCTTATTGACTGAAGTAAATTTTGGAAACTGAGGTTTTGAGGTTAGAGAACACAAGTAACATGGCACAACTAATATGTGCCAGGGTTTAAGATTTGAACCCAGGCCTGTCTGACTCTTAACCACAAGACAAGTCTCGCATTAATTTGGCAAAAGCCGGTCAGCCACTGCCCTTGAATGTTCAGTTTCCGGCCGGAATTAAGGGTCTGGTTTACCAAGATGAGCCAGCGTATCCACCCACCGCACCCTAAACGGGAACCGGGATGTTGAAAGTTAAATGTGGCCATTGCGCATGCTCACAGCGCCTAGCCTCCCACTCTCTTCCCCGCCACTGGACGTCACTGCCACTACTTTCCTGGACAACTTAGGAACGGCTCCCGCCCACTGTGAAGTCAAACGAGCGGAAGCCATTTCTCTCTAAGACGTGTCTACCCTTCCCTTCCTCGGGTCTTCCCAATTTGAAGCCAACACCACGCGCCTCCGCTCCGTGGGCATTCAAGCAGGAACTTGCCAGTTGTCAATATGGCCACTGACGGGCCAGTCCCCAGCAGAGGCTTTTCATAGGCCAAGGGCACATCCTAGCCCCGCCCATTTTGTCCCCCGGGCTGCGACTGACTAAGTCCTCTCTACGCCTGCGCAGCCTGGGCAGGCGGGGTGGTGGGCCGGCGAGTTCTTCCTAGTACCACCGTGGCTGCGTCTCCTCGCTGCTCCTGCCACTCTGGGACGGCATTGCCTGCGTTAGCTGCACAAGGGGAAGGGAGGGGAGGGACCAGCGTGAGTTCGCGGGGACCCCCGCAGTCCCAGCAGTTCCTCTCGCGCCGGGTGGGCTGTGGGGGTCAGCAGCAGTCGGGGGAGGCCCTAGACGGCGCCATGTCAGCGGGCGGCCCGTGCCCGGCTCCTGCGGGAGGGGGACCAGGGGGCGCCTCTTGCGCCATGGGGGTCTCAACCGGTGGGGTTTCCATGTTCCGGTGGCTGGAGGTGCTGGAGAAGGAGTTCGACAAGGCTTTCGTGGATGTGGATCTGCTTCTGGGCGAGATCGATCCGGACCAGGCAGACATCACTTATGAGGGGCGACAGAAGATGACCAGCCTGAGCTCCTGCTTTGCGCAGCTTTGCCACAAAGTCCAGACTGTGTCCCAAATCAACCACAAGCTAGAGGTGAGCTTCTGTCGCTGGAGAGGGCGGCACTCATCGCCAATCATCAGATCCCATTTAACGCATCAATGAAACGACTACAAAACTGTGCACTGGGGCTTCTGGGCCTCAGTTGTGACGAGGAGTGGGTGTGTTACGTGTATGTATGAAGGAAAGGAGTGAGGTGGGGCTGGAGTAGAAAAAAGGGTGTAGATCGACGTGTGGGTCACCAGGGGTCCAGACTTCCACCTTCCTACCATGAGAGGAGAAACTAATTACACCAGGCTGCTTACTGTCTTAAGACTCAAGCTCAAAGATTCTGTCATCAGAATACCTTGGCTCACCTTTTAACATTTGAGTTTTTAGATCTATCTTCACATTGATAAACTAGGTTTGTATATCAGATAGAGTCCTGATTTCTTTGAACAATTTAAGATCAGTGGCTGTTGCTGCACACACACATACTATTTCCTGCATGCATGAACTATTTAGGGGAATTTGATCAAAGCTCTTAGGAAAATTTAGTGGGATAAACACGATAGTATAAACATGATAGTATCAGTATCCTTCTCGATTTACAGTCCTAAGGCTTTTACATATATTGATTCATCTAATTCTCACAACAGCCCTGCGGGGCAAGTTTAGTATCTCTATTCCCATTTTACAGGGATTATTAAGTAAGGGGCCTGAGACTACAGAACTAGACAAGTCTTCAAAAACACATTTATTCATATCTGGTGGGAGAAGGAGAAGATAGTGAGAAAAGCAGGCAGAAGGTGAGTGTGGCTGGATCAAGAGCTGGAAGGGAGAGTGGTGTCAAGGGAGGTATTGTTTTTATTTTGTTTTTAAATGAAAAAATAAACGAATATAGTTATAAGCCAATAAGAACCATCAAGTTCAGGGGAAAGCTGAATATTGTAGAGAAATGGGGGGATAATTAGCATTCGTAGAGTTCCTGAATGAAAATGAGATCCAAAATACTTGTAGAGAGAATGGCCTTATATTGAAAGGACAGCTATCATACTTAGAAAGGAGAGATGATGAGTGCATAAGGTAGGAGGTTGAGGGAGTTTTTGTGTGATGGTTTCTTTATTCTCTGTAAACCAGGACAACCGCTGAAAGTGGGTGAAAGTAAAAGCTTAAGGACAGCGAAACAGATTTGAAATACAGAAGAGTGGGAGAGCCAGTTGGCCAGAAAAACAGAAGGACTACCAGGCAATGTCGAGGACTTATATTGAGTTAGTTACCACAAATTCATGGTACAACCAGCCTGCCTTATTATCTGACTTTCTCCAGCAATACTTGTTTATTAACAGGCGCAGTAATGAGAGTAATCATTGAGTTCATCCACCGCTGTAGCAAGGAGTTTGCTATATAGACAAGATTGTCATTGAAATGAAAACAGTAATGGGGATGAAGAAAAGGAGACGATCTTCAATTAAAAAAGTAGAAACCGAATTTGATAATTAATGAATTGTAGTTGCAGAGGATGAGGAAGAGGATGGGTTAGGGGTTAGGGATGATACCACATTTCTGTTTGGGAAATGTATTGGTTGATGCCTGTAATGGGTTCAGTACTGCCTCCCCAGATTCACGTCCACCCAGACCTGCAGAATGTGTCCTCATTTGGAACTAGGGTTTGCAGCTGTAATTAATGTAGATGAGGTCATAGTAGATTAAAGTGGGTCCTAAATCCAAAGAGAGGGTCCTGATAAGAGACGCTCAGAGGAGACACAGAGAAGAAAGCTATGTGAAGAAAGAATCGGAACTTGAAGGGACAGGTCTACAAGCCAAGAAATGTCAGTGATTGCTGGCAGCCACCAAAAGCTTGGAGGTAGGTGTGGGACATTTTCTCCTTCAGGGTCTCCAGAAGGAGCCAACCCTGCCATTACCTTGATTTTGGGCTCTTGGCATCTTGAACTGTGAGAAATTTTTGTTCTTTTAAGGCACCATGTTAGTGGTTACTTGTTTTGACAGCCCTGGGAGACTTAGACAATTCACTGAAGAAATGGTGTTACATGCTACTTACCAGGAGAAGCAGGTCTGGCAGGAAAGATCGTGAGTTGAATTGAGGAGATTGTGTAGGTTCTTATTCTTTATTGTAACTTCCTAATAGTCCATATCTTTTCTTATATATTCCTGAAAGTCTCTTTATTGCTTTTTACTCCCTTCAAACCATGTTTTAGTTGTCAAAATCATTCTAAAATGTTTCATTTTAACGGTTCATGTCCAAAAGGGCAACTCTGATTCTGTCACTCTTCTTTTTATGCCTCCCTATTTCTTACTGGCTAAAATTCAGACTCCATAGCATGGTGATCAGTGCTCGTTCTGTCTGACCTTATTTTTTGTCACCCCTTCTTAGCTACTCTCGCCTCAGTCAAACTGGTCTGTTTGCAGTTCTGTGTATAGGCCTTGCCCTGTCGTGGCAACTCTGCTTTGGCTTAGGCTTCTGTGTATAATGACTTCTCTGTTCCCTTTGTCTACAGAAGTGAACACCCACTCATCTTTCAAGATACCACTTGCATCACCATCTCTGTGAAGGCTTTCCTCACCCTACTCCTCTCTGCTCTCTATAGGAAGAGGCTGTCATAACATCTTGAACCCTCTTGGACTGTTAGGTTTGTTACATTGCGCATGCTGCAGTTAATGGTTACCACATCTCTCTAGCTCTGGAGGGCAGGCTCTTTGAGGGTTGGGGCTGTGTTCAGGTGAAATAACCTGAATTATCAGGTGCTTTGTGAAGGTGCCTTTAGGGGCTAATAATATCTCTTTATGAATACTTTTTGGTTTCATAGTGCCCCAAACCGTATTGAGTGTTCGAGTATGGATATCCGGTTGATTTATATGTAGATCACAGAATTGGTATTCTGCCCCTTCATAAAATTAAAAATTTGAAGCACACATTAAATACCAACATTTCCTACTTACTTGTCCTTATCTCACTTGCTAGGGGTGTTCATATCTCAGACCTTTTCCCTACTCCATGTATTAGCTGATTCCCATGCAACACTCAGGTCAACTTTTTCACCTTTGTGCCTGGTCCCCTTCACTTCTTTTTGAATTGGCACATCTATAAAAGTGCTTACAAAACCCTGCATCATAATTGGAAATGTTTGTTTTTAATTCTTCCTACTAGACAGTGAAAATCTTAAGGCAGAATCCCCATCTTTGTCAAATCTTTTTGTTTCCAGATCCTGGCACACTTTGTATACTCAGTAAGTGTTTATTGAATGAGTAAATTATTTGAAACAACGTCTAATGTTCTGCCGTGAATCCTCCAGATCACCAGCAGTCATTCTGCAGTGCAGGTCATGAGAGAGCTGGGATGGTGTCTGTCTTGTTGACTCTGTCTATAGTGTCTAACGCAGCGTCTGCTGTTGGTGAATGGTCAAGTCTTCAGGTTAATCTATTCCCTGATCTCTGATTTATAAGTTGATATGTCATGGTATTCCATTTTATGGAAAATCTGAGACTGTGACTATAAATAATTTAAACATCATTATATTAGAATATTAAGTATAGATTTAGTGTATTTGTGTATATTTGTGACATTTCCATGATTCTTCTCACCCCACCAGCAGTGTGACCATAGAGCAGCTGAGTGCTTTAATATTAAAATGGAAACAGGAAGCATTTTATAGTGTTTGGAACTTTGTTTTGAGGTTGATATCAAAGTACTTTAAAAAATACATCACCGATTTATCTGTATGCCTCCATCTTACATCCCTCAACCCTGGTTCATTCATGTTGTCTCTTATATTAACCCAGTCACCTCTTTTAAAACATACATTTTATCATGTCATTCTGCTAAAAATTTTTGATTGGACTTTGAATAAAATGAAACTCCTTATAGCTGACAAACTGTATGATCCGACCTGGATAAATCTCCAATGACCTATCTTACTGTTCTTTCCTCTTATTCTATGTGACCTAGTCAGACAGGTCTCCTTTCAGAAACTCTTACACAATAGTTATCAGACATTTTGGTCTCAGGACCCCTTTACACTCTACAAATTTATGGGGTCCCCAAAGAGCTTCGCTGAAAAATGTGGGTTATATGCACTGGTATTTACTAATTAGAAATTAAAACTGAGAAAACTTAAAATATTTGCTGTAGCACTAAAAAAGCAACAATAAGCCATTACATATTAATATAAATATCATTTTTAATGAAAAATAAGTATATAGTAGAAAATTTAAGCAGCACTGGTTTACAGTTTAAAATTTTTTTTTAAATATCTGGTTTAATAGAAGACAGCTGGATTCTCACATCTGCTTCTATATTCAGATAGTTGTGATATGCGACTTTGGTATAGTATTGGAGGAAAATTTAACCTTACAGACTTATGTAGTTAGATAAGAAAGGAATATTTTTTGAGCCCTTTCAGATTATTGTGCATTTTCTCCTTTGGTAGTAAGAGATAGTTTTTCTCAAAGGTTAATTACAATGTGGAGCCTGAAACGCTGTCCATGAACTTTCCATACACTGTTGCATTAAGTCACATTGGTTTATCTGTGTAGTCTTTTAATGGGTCTTCTACCCAGGCATGATTTTAGTGTCCTGCACTGGCTACTTTGAAAATACTGGTTCGCTGAGTTATGCAGATCTTTCAAATGTTGGCACATCCCATTATGAAATGTCAAGAAATCACATTTATTAATATCTTTCTCATCAGAAAAGTCTAAAGTGCTGATGATGGATTCACGTTTTCCAAAATTCTACTTTTCACTCAAAAGCACAATTTTTTTGGGGGGGGGGGCAACAAATGTTGTCAGTTGTTTTCCTTTAAATGACAAATTTGTTTACTCTCAAGAATGTGTCTGCCAAGCATATTATTAATCTTAAGAGCCATAGTTTGTTCTTTTTTTAAATAAAAATAATTTTCCACAAAAAAATGTTCAGCTTTGCAACTCCAGCAGTTGTACAATTTCCTGGAGATAACAGAGTCTCATAAGCTGCAGGTACACTTTATGCAAACTTCTTGTTTCTACACAGTGAATATTAAAAACGGGTACTCAAGAGC